AACAGAGGAGTTATTTCTTTTGGCTTTTCAGAAATCAGCGATATATGGTTATCAAGACAAAGCTGTGTTTTTGTCTTCTTAATTAATAAACAACAGTATTCACACAGCTAAACAGACATGTGCCACAAAGCTAAACTCATTTCCAAACAATCTACACTTCAGTAAATCCTGGAGGATGAGAAAAAGAAATGTTGCCACTCGCCACTTAAGCAAGATTTCAGGAGTTGCAAATAATGGAGATTACATAACATCAACTTTGAGAAGAAGAAAAACATTAAATGTTAACATCTTAAAATGTTTAATTTTGAATACTAAGCCAAGAAATCCATTCAGCCACCTTAAATACTCTTTGATTGGCCATTACACAGCATGAGATGTGATGTAGAACATTTCACCTTATACTGAATAGGATGTTACTTACTGCTAGAAATTTGATGAGTTTTTATAAATGTCTTTTCAACACACATATAAAACCAAGCGCTTTCAACAAAATATGATTCTAATCAAAAGCAGTTATTTAAATACAAAACACTGAATTTCAGCTATAAACATAAGTGATTTTTCAATTAAGCTGTTCAAGTGATTACAGTCTGATAGAACTCAGGCAGAAAGGAAGCAGTTGCAAATCACCTTTGACAGGCCAATAGAATGAGCTTTCCCAGCATTTTAGCCTCAAGCCTGTTCTATCAGGGAGAGCAAAACTTAGTTTATAGCAATGATTCTCAAGCTTAAGCATGTATCAGAGTCACCTGGGGGCTTGTTAAATGTGAACTGCTTGGCTTAATCCCCAGAGTTTCCAATTCAGTCACCCTAGAGCAGAGTCGGGGGTGCTGCATTTTTCACAAGTCCCCGGGGTGATGCAGCTAATCTGGAACCACACTTGAGAACCACTGGTCTGTATCACGGGCCAGCTGACTCCTCCTGTGTCCCTCTTCTAAGGACCATTTTGATTACATCAGGCGTACCCAGGCAATCCTGGATAATTTCCTTTTCTCAAGATCCTTAGTCACAACTGGAAAGTCCCTTGTCAGGCAAAGTCGCTTGTGCCATATAAAGTAACATTCACAGGTTGCAAGAATTAGGACATGAACGTACTAGGAGGCCATTATTCAGTCTGCCACAACTTCTTTTACAATTAAAACTAATTCACAAACAGTTGACATAGTTATCTATTCTAGAGATCTCTAGCAGAAGGGGAAAAATCCCACCCCAATTTACTTTGCAATATTGAAAATGATAAACTGATTGATAGAAAGTGTTAACTATTAATAGATATATAGCAATACTATGCTTCGTATCCTATGGTAAAAAGGGCTATTACAATGACTCTGAAGATTTTAAGTGAGTTTCTAAAGTGAATGTTTCTAATGTTAAAGGAATTCTGTTTAAATGAGAATGAGCCACATCTGGGTAGAAGACTTGGGCCTCTCTTCAAAGACATGTACTCTTGTATGCTGAGCAGATGATGAACCACTGTCCTTTTAAATTTTTTTAAAGTTCAGTAACTTAAATCAACTATTTGATATCATCATATATTTTCTAATCCATGTATCATTAATATAACAATAGAGAGGATGTATGCATTATTTTGTACTCTCATTTTTGTTCCTTAATATTTACATATATGCATTTTTAGGCAGTGACAGCTTACACTTACTTTAATAGTACTGATTGCTACATTATTCACAAATTTCAGTTATTTGGAATACTTACAAAGTTTTTTTGTAGTTAACTTTTATGCTTTTGAGATGCAGTACAATTTAATGATTTGCATGCATGCTTTGCTCAAAGAGAAGAATGCTTTGCCAGTTACCTTCTGGGTGACTGTGCATGCTGGCAGGCAGAATTCTGCGGTGGTCCCCAAGATTCTCATCCTCTTGGTGTACCCACCCTGTATTATCTCCTCCCCTTGAGCGTGGGTAGAACTTGCGAATATGACCAGCTATCAATTCTGTGATTATGTTACAGTATATGGCAAAGAGGACTTTACAGATGTAACCAAGACTCCTAATCTCCTCACTTTGAATGAATAAAAAGCGAGATTCTCTTGTGTGGGTAAGACCTAGTCACGTAAGCCCTTTAATAGAGGGTCTGGTGCCCTACCCAGGGTTAGAGAGTCTCTTGCTGGCATTGAGGAAGTAAGCTACCATGTTGTGGGAGGGCTAATGGAGGGGCTAACGTGGCAATGACCTCTGGAGCAGAAGGCAGTTTCCAGCCAACAGGGAGCAAGAAAACGAGCCACCTATCATACAAATGCCAGAAAATAAATCCTGCCAACAAACCTGTGAGCTTGGAAGGGGACCTAGAGCTCCTGACTGAACGCAGCCCAGCTGCCATCTTGACTGCAGCCTTCTGCGACCCTGAGCCCAGGACCCAACTAAGCTCTGCCAGACTCTTGACTCACAGAAGCTGTGACAATACATGTGTGTTATTTTAAGCTGTGAAGTTTGTAGTAATTCGTGAAACAGCAGTAAAAGACTGATACAGCATATTATTCAACTTGCCTGAGCCTCGGGTCCCTCAACAGAAAAACAGGGATTAAAACAGCACCTAAATCAAAACTGAATGTGGTGGTGAGGCAGATGGGCAGTTATCAAGAGTGCTAATGTATAAGGGTACGAATTCACAAAAGGGAAAAGCAAACCTTTTATTTACCCAAACTTCTTTGAGGAGAATATTGGGGGTGTGCGCGCACGTGTGTGTGTGTGTGTGTGTGGACGGGGGTGAGACTGCCCCAAAGGCATCTTCAGCTACAACAGATCACCTCTTGAACTGCCTTAAAATAGAAGGAGTTCAGTTATCTATCTTTATTTGGCTACTGAGAGGTTTGTAAGTTGGGCCAGAGTTGAATTGCTTGAGATAACAGAGAGGTTCTTCAACTTCCTCCTTCATACAAAGGACATCAGTCTTCCACTAACACCTTGCACTGCCTCTTCAGGATTGTTGCGATGATTAGATGAGATCACTCATATAAAGCGCTTTGGACAGCGCTTAATACAAAATTCTTAGAGATATTTTTAAAAAATGCTTCCTATTATTATCACTGACTTCCCTGCCTCAACAATTTCTGAAGGCAGGGGCTATATTTACTCCTCTGTATGTACTGGGGCTTGCACATAGTACATTCTCAAAAGCTATGAGTTGACGGTTTCAGCTTAACAGAAAAACTCAAGCTGGGTTATAGGTCACAGTAGCTCGAGAAAAGAAAATTAGAATCCATGATTAGGCTGAATCATGAGCGACTAAGGAAGAAGAAGAGAAACAGAAAACCCCGTGTTAGAATCTGAACGTAAGAAATTATTTTATTAGTGGAGTTAAGACAAACATTGCCTCTGGGACACATGGAAGCCACAGTGGGCCTAAATGAAACAGATGTATTTTTCTTTCTGGGGCTGCTCCATGCTTTTTATATGATATTTACAAATATAACTTCTCTTAACTAAGGCTTAAACCAGCAACAAATCCCAAACTGCTGTCTCTGCCATATGGCTTTGATATGAATTTTTCAGATATAAAACATTAACTTGGATACCGTTAGATTTTTTTTAAAAATGGAGGCATACTTTATACTTCATATATAACAAAATGCACAGATCTTAAGCATACAGCTTGGTGAATTTTCACACTTGCATTTTATCCACGTAGTCATCACCGAGATCAACTTACAGAACATTCCCATTACTACAGAAAGGTCCTTGCTGCCCTTTCTAGTCAATATACCTCCCCACACTTCTAGGGGTAACCATTATCCTGATTTCAATGATCACAGATTAGTGTTCCCTATGCTGAACTTCAAATAAATGAAATCAAACAGTGTGCTACTATTTTGTACCTGGTTTCTTAAACTCATCATAATTTTTGAGTGTCTCCTATGCTGTTGTGTGTATCAATAGTTCATTCTTTTTTTATTGCTGCAAAGTACTTCATTGTATGAATATTGCAAAATATGTTTATATACTCTTATTGGCTTCAGTTGTTTCCACTTTAGGGCTATTATAAATAAAACCGCTTTGAATATTCTCATACAAGCCTTTTTTGATACACGCATTTATTCCTCTTGGTCACAGGGTAAGTGACTATTTGACTTTCTTAGAAAACAGCTAGTAAGTTTCCCAAAGTGGTCATTCGATTTCACATCCCCATCAGCAAATTAAGAGGGTTCCAGTTGCTTTACATTCACAGTAACACTTCATAGTGTGTTTCATTTTTAGTCAATCTGGTGTGTGTGTGTGTAGTGAAATCTCACTGTGGTTTTATTCTATATTTCCCTGATATGTAATGATATCAATGAACTTATGCTTCTTGGTTATTTGGATATCTTCTTTTATGAAGTTCTGTTGAAATCAATCTTTAAATAATTCAAAAAAATTTAAAGGACTGAAAATGAGAAATGAAAAATGAAGGTCAGGGAATACAATTTCATGTAAATTATTTCTGATGAGAGAACTTAGCTCTAGATAGATGGTCACCTTCATTGACCACTGAATGCAGAAAACACTCCCAGAACGCCCTGCCACTTTGGCTGTTCTCAACGCAGAGTTCACCACACCCTATGCTAAATGTTTTACATGTTCAACGTGTATTCTTAACAACAACTCTGTAAGGTAGTTACTATAATTACCATTTTACCGATAAGAACATGAAGTTCAAGGAATCAACACAACTTTCCCAAGGTCACATCAACACCATACGTGAGACATGGGACTATGTCTCACTCCAAATCTTCCATTACTTCCTGCTGTAGATTTTTTTAAAAAAATTCTTTAATATGGAATAGAATAAACACAGAAAAGCACACAAAACAATCATGATCTGCTAAGAGAATAACCACAAGGCGGTGTCCATGTAACTACCACCCAAGAAACAGAACACTGCCTGTACGCAGGGGGCCCTTGGTGGTCCTGCACAATCGCTA